GCATTTGTGAGAAAATCAAGCCAAGTTTCCTCATAAAAAGGCAAATGATTCTCACAGTTGTAACACACAATACATATATTTGTCCATACCTCTGCATTTTCTCTCAAATTGAGTTTTGTATGTGCAAATCACTTAGCGTTTGTTTGAAAGTCGAGTTTTTATTTGCAAAGCAAATTGTGTTTATTTGCAAAACGCTGGATTTGTTTTATTAATATTGTCACAAAATTCGCTCCATTTGTGTTAGGCCTAATCCACACATAAAAAAATAAGAAGGACCCATATGAAGGAGCCATTTGTTCTAAAAGCCTTAACCCATTAAGTTATGAAAACGTTATTTACGAATGCCTTCTGAACACTTAAAACGTCCAGGTTGTTAAATGTTTGAAATGCGTTTTTCTGGGTTATGTGAACGTTAGGGGAAACATTAAAATAAAGGAACGTTCTATTTGATCATTTAGCAAAAGTAATGGGGAAATTACGTTTGAATGTTTGAATGTTCTCTAAACCCTCTGAAACTAGCAAGTAGCCTCGGGTACATCCAACTAAAATGTTTCAGAAAAACGTTCCATGAATGATGTAATGTTATATATATATATATATATATATATATTTAAAAAAAACTCACGGGCGTCAACTCCAAGGTCAAAACCTTCCAAATGAATTCAGTAGCCTATAGTTCATGTAAAAATGAGGACTACCTTAAACCAGATGTTTCAGACTGAAAATAATGTGCATTTAAACCAGATGTTTCAGACTGAAAATAATGTGCATTTAAACCAGATGTTTCAGACTGAAAATAATGTGCATTTAAACCAGATGTTTCAGACTGAAAATAATATGCATTTAACTCGATTTAGGCTAGTTTCTTTTTATTTCAATAGGGCACCTTTGGCTATTAGATTCAATGACAAGAAATAGCGTAGAAGTATGGTCTCGAATGAAAGTTGTGTTGTAGCCTAGTTTCCGTCAATATAGGCTTTAATCACTCAGCATCTGGTGAAATCTGACGTGCATGCACCGCTAGAAATGTTTTTATCCGACGTCTAAATAAAATAGGCTACTAATTGGGGAATTAAAATTAGTCTTTAAAATTTCTTCAAAGTAAAAGAAATCCAGATCAAATTCATTTTCACTTGTAAAACTGTTCCATAAAAAGGATAGCTTGACCATTGCAAGGTATCCTTGTTATGGAACAGTTTTATGTTCTATTTATGTTCATCAGGTCATTCATTTAATCCCAAAATAATAATAGCCTAACAATTATAGGCTATTTTAATAATTATATACGACAAATTGTATGTATATATATTATATAGGGAATTATTTCTATAACGTTATTATGTTTTTTACTTTTATTTCACGATTTTTAAAAATATTACAAAAATTAATAATCGTAACATTTTACAGTAAATATAACTATTAACATTGTTCTAGAAATTATGTAAAAAATAATAAGGCACTTAAAAGTCATAAATTGTATGCAGTATAGAATTTCTAGACAAAAGCAAAGAAACAAAAAACGAACTTTCTTTACTTCCTTTCTTACAGTTTTCTTCTTATGGGCGATAAAAGACCAAAAAAGTATTTTATCTTTTTTTTGTCTTTTAAAAGAAAGACAAAAAAGTAACTTGCCTGTGGACCACTCACTGAATGACCGCTCAAGAAAAATGGGATGTGTATGTTACTGAATTGTGACTGCTGTAACGATTGTTTACGACAATAACACTTTTTCAGGGCCGCGTTTCAGCATTTCTATGAGTCTAACTACGATGCCTTTGGGAAACCCAGCCCATTGTCAGAACCCTGGTCCTGTCGGCTATATCCTTTTCTTTTTCTGAACAACGATGGATGCGTTTGGAATCTACAAAAACAAAGTTATTTTTAACTAAATGGGGTAATTAGAAATACAATCATCTACTTCCAAACGGAAATCTTGTAACACAATGATTCTTTGGAGATCATAAGCATGAATGTGACATTAGGGCCTGCTTTAATTTTGTCAAAAGTTAATTGGTAAACCTACAAATTAATGGCCGAAGTATGAGAGTTACCTGTCCACTGTCCTTTCCAGGCGTGCGTATGAGATTTCGTTGACTTCATCCACGGGAAGGGCAGATGGTATCTGTTCCGATCCCCGCACAGGTCAAGAGAGTCTCCGTAACCGCCGAGCGTCTGTAGAGATGTCTGCGGAGTCTGGGGAAGGTGAAGATGAGGCCCTGTCAGATCATCCCGGGTCGACATGTTATAAGAAGTAATGTCGGTAAGATTTGGCTGGTCCTGGCTGCCCAATGACGGTGAGGCGTAGACGGACTGAGTCTGTCTACTCATATACAGACACGGTGGAAGGTTTTGGCTGTAGTCTTCGTTGGGATGTCTCTGGAAGGCGCAAGAGTCCTTGTACAGGTGGTTAGGAGGGTAATAATGCTCTTCCCGATTCATGATTGCCACAGACCGGGAAACCGTGCTGTACACGAGCCAGCGCCCTGCCCCTGATCAGGACCTCTGCTCTACCTGCAGTCTGAGCGTCTGGCGCCGATCGAGGGCCTCATAGGTGTGCCACCGGGACCATGTGACCCTGCTGCACCATTGGTTTCACTGTTTACACAAAGCTGTCAACTGGCAGTAGATTCTGTACGTGTTTCCTTTCGACTGCCCCGCGGTTTGACAATGATTGAACAGAACTGACCATGCTCAAATCAATGCCCTTGGCAAACACTTTCTGTTTGCCTGCGACTATATGTGTTACACCTGCAGTTGTTAGATTTACTGCAAAGACAGGTGAATCTAAAAAGCTTATATTTATTTTTTACATATAGGCTACGTTTGGTTTCAACCGTATCGATGAAATATTAAGTTATTCTGAACGCGCATTTTTATCTAAAGCCGAATACTAGCTAGCGTAAGATATAATTGATCTATTAAACATTTCTTTTTCTCGTAAAAAGAGCGCGTGGGCTTGTACACATGTACACATTAAAAGGCACCATTAAGTCCTTGTTACGTAAAATCTATGGACACTGGTGACAAGGGCAATCATTACGCACACCTCTCAACATGTTGTCCGTCTTTTGCTTTAACCAGGCTTACCTGCCATTAAGCACACCCGTCCACGGTCCATTAAACTAAAGTCCTCGTGGATAAATAAAAACGAGCTGTTCGGTGTAAACGAATTAACATTGAGAGTGAAACAGAACTCAATTAGTTTGAGATGTGTGCGCAACGTAAGCGCACCAGGCAGTCTGTTTGGATGTTTGGAGAGGTCAGAACAAGAGAGAAATGGGCAGCAAAAGGTGATTTTCAATTAGGGGAATTTCCCAAGTCTTGTATGTTGAAGCAACAAAAATTATTATTTTAAAAAACAAATAATAGCCTATTATAGATGTAAGTTTTTTAATGTATCTCAAATTTTTCTTAATTTTAAAAAGACTTTCTGAATTTCTCTGTTTTGGATTTGTCCCCCAACTAGACTTTTTAACTTAACACGTTTGTAAAAAGTGTTGACATCCGAGCATCCTTTCCATTCGTTTGCATGCATGAATAAAACAAATAAATAAATAAAGGGTTATTTAAGACGAATGCCATTTAAATCATTATTCTTTACTACAACCTTGCATTTGTCAAGACTTCAAAAAGTGACAAGTAAATACATCACATACATGACTTTTTATATATATATATTTTTTTAAATAAAAACAGAATGTTTTATTATATTCAAGCAAATTTCGAGAACATATGGCATAGTGCTGTGTTTGCATGGACCTCTTCAAATGACAATAATGGCACTTTCTTTCCTATCTTAATGGGGCTCTCATGCCAGTCATAAAGTTCAGGCAAATCCATTCCTCGCAAATCAAGCCTCGTAACGGCGCTTAATGGTGTTTATATATGACCTAGTTTGAAAAGGGAAGGAAACCGTTATCCGCGACTATTTTCACAATTTATCCGAGACTATTTTCACAATGTTGAAAGAGTACAAAAGGTTTTATGAAGCGTGAGTGAGACGACGCTATTTGGAATCATATCCATGGAAGGATATGAGAGGGATAATGGTGTAAAGTGATAAGAAATGTAGCTTTGCCATGCCAGAGAGAAAATACACAACTTAAGGCACTGGTACATAAAATCGGCTAGCAATTCAAATGCGTTTTGAGACTTCAGATAAAACGCAATAAACCAGTTAGGAGACACACAAAAGCGTTCTGAAACCACTTGTATGTTTGAGTAGGAGTAATATGTAGCTATAAATGTCCAAGTGCGACTCGATAATGGGAGTTCAGATCACTCATAATGGTACAATTGCGTTATGTAAAACGACACGTAATCAGATGTTGATAAACCCAGTGGCCTACACCCACATAATGCTTCGTCTATAAAACTGAAGGAAAAATGCAGTTTTGGCTACCCGTGTAAATACTGCAGTTTTTAATTAGCCTAACATACGTGTATTTTGATTTAAATTAAATATCACGAGGTGAGGTGCGAGCAACCAGATGGATCACGGAAACAGAGACTTTACTTTCAGACTCTTTGATAAGAAATAAGAGAATGAATGGCGATAAAATATGCTTGCTTAGTAGCGACAGTAAAGCTTGGGCAAACATGTCTAACCGCCGCAAAGGAACGATAATGAGATTTAAAATGACATTTAAGTCGCGCATTGAGGAAAATCTCAGGCGCAATAATTCATTCTGACACCACGCACTGAATGGATGGATGACAGAAACGTCGCCGACAAACGTTATTGCACAAACGTTAATTTCTAAACGTTTTTTTAAACCAAAGACCACTGTTGAGAAAATCTAAATTATTGCTGATATATTCCGGAGTAATTACGACTGTAGCTACGAACATCATGTTTATTGCTGGTTAAGTTTTAATTTACACAAATTAATAATATATAAACTTATATACTTAGTGTGTACACACGCACAAAGTATACGTTTATACAAACATTAAAATTATATTTTTTTAAAAATCAAGGAAACAAGGATACACAATGACCTATTAAAAATAGTTCTGAAATGATATTAACAGCCTCTCTCAATAATCAAATTCCGTCTTTTAGTTGTTTTAAAAATGCTATTTTAATATTATTGTTCAGAAATATAATGCAAATGGAAATTAGCAGAATGCCTTCATATTGTTGTACGCATTCATAGGACATGTAGACATGTAGAGATCTCATGTGTGCTCAAAACAAAAAAGCTACAAAGAGAGTGTTGCATCATTTCCCCCCTCTGTCAGTGTATTTTTTGACATCTGGGGAACTGTCCCGCACTGGTGAGCGAGATCGAGTCCTTTTTGACTTCCGGGAGAGGTGAGGGGAGTGTCTTCTTCGGGATGGTGAATGATTGCGTGAGGAAGAGCGGTGTTTGGAAGTGTGTGAATGAGAGTCAGAGTGGTATCTTCTGTGTGAATAGTCTTTTTTGTGATTGCACTTTTCACAGTCCGTGTTGTGATGTTTTTCACAAGCTCTTTTGTACCCATGTTCATCATCTCTTCCCCTCTCTGAAGCACGCTGATTTGTAGGCTGATGCGTCACAGCAGAGGAACGAATTGTGTTCAGCAGAAAGCGCTTGTTTGTGCTTCCCAGCGGACATTTCATCCTAGAAAACAGCAATTTAACCAGCTTTTAGATTCAAGATACATAAGGGAATTCCAAAAAGTATTCATTTATAAGATATACAGCCTTCTGAATTGTAAACTGTCAATCAAGGACAGCAAATAAATTGTTCTGCACCTTTCAACATGATTATCTATACTTACCATCCAGTAGCACCCATTGTCTCAGCACGGACTTTTGCTCTGCTAGTTTCTTTAAGGAGCTCCTCCACTGCTTTCCTGTTGGAGGAAAGAATATTTACACGAGTGAGAGAAATGGGTAACTGTACTGCTGTAACCTACGGGCCGAAGCACTTATTGTTTCATTTTCATTCCTAACTGCAGGGACAGTATTCAGTATTTCTATAACGTTAATGCTTGATTGTATTGACAGTACTTTGATCTTTAAGGCAGTTGCACTCAATTACAACTAATGTTATCATCACAACATAGAACAGAACAGATAATGTCACAAAGCACATGGTTGCTTTTTATATAAATGAATAATTCCTTCCTTGTAAGATATCGGAGATGATTGCTAACTTGCATGTAGTATGATACCTGACCACATATTACCAATACATCTTGACCGTTAAACAGCTGCACTCAGCCGGGTCACACATTTAACATCATAAACTAGCCCACTAAAACGATTTAAGCAAAAAACAGTATCTTAAGTTATGTCATACCTCTCTAGTTCACTTTCATCCATGATTTATTTAAACTGAAACGCATTCAGTGTTAAATTTTAATTCGTTTCAGCTCTGCTTGCTAACTGGTGTTATTTCCTACACTTGATGAGAACCCAAATTAGGACCCCGTTTGACTTAGTCCTTGATCATAGTCCTAACCTAAAAAACGGATGTAAAATATAACCTACGTCAGCTGCGGACATGCACGATAGCAAAATTCACACTTAAACGTTAAACCTTTCTGTAAATATAATTAATAACTATAGCGTCTAAAAATCATACACAGTCTATGCTTAAAACATAAGGGCGCATTTCAATCAGGCACCTAAATGGTCACACCTGCTATTCGATTGACATCGTGAGTCCCCGCCTCCACGCTGAGTCCGACAGAAGTTCCTCGAATCGGTTCTTTTGAACAGTTCGTCTAAATGAAGCGGTTCAAGAATGATTCGGTGGTTCTTTACGTCATTACACGGTCCCTTAGCATTTTACATGCTCTAAAACGTTCCAGCGCATTCTCTAAAAAGCTATTTAGGCTATCATATTATTTTCGCTTAAGATTTAATAAATAAGGGTCTTTATTTTAATACCACGTGTCCTAGTTCAATTTGTTATAGCCACTATAGCCAGGAAATCCACTAATTGGAATTTAAGTATAATTTGCATTTACAATAAGCAAAAATAAAATTCATTAATATCTCTTGGTTTTAAATTAATGAATTATATTTGAAATTAACCTATGCATTAAAACCAAATTTGGTTTGCCTTTGAGTTTGATTTTGTTGATAAATCATACAATCAAGTAATGCATATATCTCCAGAACATTTTATTTGTAACATTTTTGCTATCCGGCTATAAAGTAACTTTATCATTCAAATCCTCAGTAATTACATTTACATTTAATCATTTAGCAGATGCTTTATACAAACTGATACAAATGAAGACAATAGAAGCAATCAAAACCAATAAAAGAGCAACAATGTAGCCTACTGTAAGTGTGGTGACGCAGTGTTGGGGGTAACGCATTACAAGTAACGCGAGTTACGTAATCAGATTACTTTTTTCAAGTAACTAGTAAAGTTTTACTAGTTACTTTTACATTATTAAAAAGTGCAAAGTAAAAAAGTACATTACTTTTTAATTTACAAGATAATATCTGAGTTACTTTTTCCAATAAGTAACGCAAGTTACTTTCTTCTTCCAATTTATTGATTGACAGCTCTCCTGCCCCCATGTTGAGAGAAATCAGAAGATGTTACTGTAGTTCTAAAATTAATATGAATATGCATTAATTCATCTCACTCAAAAAAAAAACACAAATTCAGTATTCCTCAAAATGAATAAAAATAATGCAACTCAGAATATGACGCAAACCTGCAATAATTAAATGTTAAACAATACAAATACCCTTTAAGTATTTAATCCCATTCTATTAAGCAATGTCTTTGCTTCTGACCTTCGATGATCCAGTTCAACCGTACTAATAAGCACAAATTACTCTAGACAAGCATTTGTGTCTTTTTTTATTGCTGAAGTGTGTTGAAATTTCTTCTTCTGTGTTCTACTGTACGGACGTAAATTTACTTTCCCTTCAGCCTGAGGCTTATTCATTTCACTTTTGGTGTGAAAAGGCTTTTATATTTGCCAAAAATATAACTTTTTTTATTTTAAAAACAAACAAGCAAGCCCTGTCCAGAATTAAAAAGTAACACAAAAGTAACGTAACGCATTACTTTCCATAAAAAGTAACTAAGTAACGTAATTAGTTACTTTTTATGGAGTACCGCAATATTGTAATGCATTACTTTTAAAAGTAACTTTCCCCAACACTGGACATGTCCCATGTTAGTCTTACACGTAGCAAGTTCATTTTTTAATAATAATAAATAAAAATAATAAATAGTAGATATAGAAATAGAGAAAGAGCTAGTGTTAGAGTGTCAAGATTTTATTGCATTTTTTATATTCATGTTATTTTATTCATATTCATTTTATATTTTATATATAGTTCACTCCAAATGCATTTATCATCGTCTGGACATTTTTGAAAGAGACGGTTCTCGGTTCAACGAGTCGGGCAGTTTTTGACTCGAGAGTCGCTGGGCCGATTCAGTCCAATACATGCACTAATTGTTTAGATCAGTATAATGAACAGGTTCAATTGATTCGTTCAAAAGAGTCGACTCAAAAGAGCCATTCGTTCACGAATCGGACATCGCTACAAGACAGATACGGGGGTGTTTTGACGGGCGGATGCGGCTCGGGCAAGCTGCGGTGGATGTGATTGAGCTCCATGATTCTCCCCTCTCGGGGCGAGAGTTCACATCCGAAGGGAACGCGAATAGGTAATGTTATTCAAATACTCATATTATCACCCGCCGATCCTTTATTACTACACGCATTTTGTTACATGTCATTGTCGCCTATTGTACGGGCGATAGCACAGAGAGAGAGAGAGACAGTAAACGAAAAAATTTACTGCGAGCCGCTCTGTACCAGAAATAATGAGATATCGATATTTGTATGTCATAGATCTGGATTGGATACGCCTTATTAACGAGACAATTCATGCAGGTGGCATCCACAGACATTTTAATTCAACAGAGAAAGCGCCCACCCCCCACTCATTTATTTTTGTTGTCTACCTGTTTATGAATGTGCAACCTTTCTGTAAAATAAGGTCAATGTATTGATTTGGAAAAGCAATGCGAGATGGGTGTCAAAAAAGCTGGTTTGTGAATAGATCTGGACTGCAGAATGGAAACATGTCACTGCTACTGAAAGCCGTTTGCTCAATAAATAAAGACTTTAGAGATGTGCATATCATTCTACATGGAGCATGTCAGATATTGTTTGCTTCCTTTGTAGATGTTTAAATATCAGTCATTAATTTGCATTATTTTATGTCAGTTCAGCTGAACAAACATTTAATTCTTCATCCGCCAGGCAGCCAGATAAGCGCGAATGTGCCATTTTGCAAGTGAGAACACAGACAACTGTGACAAGCAGCTAAAGATACAAGGATACAACAAGTGAGTGGCCTTGAACAGCCCTTGCGGTCAATATCTAAACACTCCCTTGTGATTAAAAGTCATCAGAGGATCCAGCATAGAATAGAAATATTAATGGCAGCTGCCCAAAGGCCATTAGACATTCCAACCTTATTTAATGAAGTCCCACATCATGCTATCAAGGGATGAAGTTTAAGCACAAGCTGCTTCATTTAGATCAGACTATCCACATTAAGACATTTACAGTGTGCGGGACGAGTGTGCATGGGTATGTGTGTCTGATGAGATGTTGACAGGGCTTTGTAGTGGGAACAGAGAAGCCTTGTGTCCTCATGTTTTATTCATGTCCAGCTGCAAGATAAAAACAGAGGCAGGTAGTCACAGAGATGCCGTTGACAGACCAAGCGTGGGGCTGCTCACGGATGCACAGCTGTCGGATACTGTGAATACAGGCGAAGGTTGTAGTTATCACTGCCCCAATAGAATGCCCCCTGCTGTTTGGTGGCCTCGAAAAGCCAATTATTAGAAGCCTAGTTCAGGGGTTTTCGATCTTTTAGATGCTAAGGCCCCCATATTTGATCATCCTCATACAAGGGACTCCCATTTTAAAACGGAATATTTTTAAGGCCCAGTTTATAGTGTAAAAAATGTATGTGTACAATATTATTTGAAAAATATTTCGTTTTTATTACATAGAACATAATCAGGTGAAATGGCATACTGAACACAGACGAAAACAAGGCATTGAGGGATATACTTACAGTCTTTATAATGGCACACACTATATGAGCATAACTTATGACTTTCCATTTCCGATGACAATCCGTTGAACGCACTACTTCTATCCCTCACAGCCTCATTTTCATTGTCAAAAATTAAATATAGTGCTACTCTGACTAAGGTCTATTACATTTTTTTGCCTGCTCACTACATCTTAGTAATGTACTGTTGAATGTATTGTTTATTCATTTATATCATATTTTATTGATTTATTTATTTTCTCTAGACGTTTTTCACAGACCCCAGTTTGAAAACCCCTCATGTAGTCCACAGACAAGTGAAAATTCTGTCATATTTACTGACCCTCATGTTTTTCCACTCCTGTATGACTATTTCTTTCAGCTAACAAGATTTTCTGTGAAAAATAGCTACTAAACCAGTGTATGATTTGAAATACAGCACACTGATCAGTTTTATGTTCCCTTTATGGTGCTTTTTGGAGGCCCAGTCATTCACCTTAGTTATACAGAAAAAATACTCTTTCACTGAAGAAAGAAAGTCAGGCTTGAATTGACATAATGGTGAGTAAATACAGAGAGAAAGTCAACCGTTCCTTTAAATCTACAATGTATCAAATTAGAAACATGGCCTTCAGAGGAATGATTTTAATTATAATCTGGTAGGTTTTGATTAATATTTGTATTTAATGACTCGGATGAGTTTGCACCCACCCCCCCAATCTGGCTTTTCTGAACAAATGTTATCAATTCAAATTCAATTTCTTATACAGTATTTATTTTTGTCCTCTTCTCTTGCCCCCCATTCTCACTTTCACATCAAAACCTCTTGACTCTGCGCTCCCTGCCTCAATCCAAGATAATTCTCTCTCTGCTGGATTGAAAGATTGCTCCAGGCGAGAGAGCAAGTGATTACACTGTCAGATTAATGTGCAGGAGTAAACCCACACTGCTCTGCAACATAATCTCATGCTCACAACACATGGCACACACACAAACACGTTCTCTCATTCAGAACGGTTACCTCACTTCTTCTCCTTCAGGGTGATGTAACACCGTCTACCAGGGGGTGGCCGTCCCCTGCCGGAGTCGCACAGCCTCTGACGCCCCCGTAACCAAACCACTAAGTGTGTTTGTGTAGCCAAAGCCGAGCACAATGGGCAGTCTGGGAGAGGGAGTGGACCCAGGCATGGTGAGCGAAGCTCTTCTGGAGGCCCTTTGCTCTGAATGTGGACAGATTCACCGCGCCTGTGAGAACCACCTTTATAACTATCGTCTGGAAGTGGATGATGATTTGGTGTGCCACATCTGCCTTCAGCCGTTAGTTCAGCCCCTGGATACACCATGTGGCCACACCTTCTGTGCCCGCTGCCTGCGCAGCTTTCTGCAGGAACGGGACTTTTGTCCGCTGGACCGCGCGCATCTGCAGCTGCAGGTCTGCCGGCGCT